CGGCCGCCACAGCTCCGCAGGCCCGGCCCGCCGCGCCCGGGACCCCCAGCCGGCCCGCAGCGCGAGCGAGGCCAGCCCGGTCCAAGGCCCGGCTGTCAGTCCGGCCGCAGCCGCCCGAGGCCCCCGTCCACCAGAGAGGAACGTGGAGGCGTTGGGGCCTGCGGGCCCAGAGTCCCTGCGAGGCGCCCCGCACTCACCTGCCCCGCGTGCCACCTCAGCGCCAATCCTGGGTTAGGCTAGCGGCTCCTGGCCTCGCACCCGTCAGCCCTCGGCGGCCCCTTCGCGCACGCGCAGCCGGGCGGGCAGGGTCGGCCGTGGGGAATGCTGGGGGCTGTAGTCCTTACTGGCGGCCGGGCCCCGCCCCTCCACGAGCTGGCTTTGCCAGGCGCAGGTGCAGGCACTTAGCTGCCCTCTTAAGTCTAGTTTTGGTCTATTGATGTCTACTTGCCTCCCGTCTGCATCGCAGCCTGAGCAGCTTAGGGCAATATGGGGTCCACCAACAGTCACAAGCGGGTAATAGACGCAGCAAATTACTTTTAAATTTTCTGAATATTTAAGGCCTTACTTTGTGGGGGCACAGAATCAGTTCTAGACCAGCCTTATCACAATTCACAAGCCTTGGAGAAATCCACACCTTGGCTAAGATGAGAATGTGAACTTAGGGGTGTTTTGAGAACTCACTGCTATGTGGGAAAACTGTTAAAACTCAGTAGGAAGGAATAGTCCAGGAAGGTAGGGGTCCATCTGCATTTGACATCTGGTTCCTATGCTTAGGAACATGCTTAGGGCGGCCCGTGGCTCAGTGGGTAGGGCGCCGTCACCATATACCGAGGCTGGCGGGTCCGAACCCGGGTCGAACTGCAACAAAGAATAGCCGGGAAGTGTGGCAGGCGCCTGTGGTCCCAGCTACTTGGGAGGCTGAGGCAAGAGAATAGCCTAAGCCCAGGAATTGGAGCGTGCTGTGAGGCGTGACGCCACAACACTCTACTGAGGGCGATAAAGTGAAACTGTCTCAAAAAAAAAAAAATTCCAACTTTGTTTTAGAAAAGTCCTTTGGTTTCTTGACCTAGGGGTATGAGTCTCATTTTGAGTACCAGAAGTCACCCAAAACTCCAACAGTATTCAGCAATATTTTTCTGAAAATATCTCCTAATTCTTAGGAGACAGACATTTGGTTTTAAAGTCGCTTATCCAGGTACCTAATGGTGTAGGAAGATGATAGTGCCCAGCCATCAATGAAGGGGAAGCCACAGGCAGAGCCTATAAGGCAGCCTCAGTGATTTTCTCAGGTTACAAAGTACTTTGGCATGTTTTCCATAACTCTCATGTGCTGAAAGCAGGGTGAATTTTATGGTTTGAGTTTTATAGAAGAGGACCTGGCCAAAATGGTGAGAGCTATTAAGTGGCAGAGCAGGGACCTGAACCCATTTTCTGAATCAAGTTCATTTTTCTTCTGAACCACAGTATTGCCTCAAATTCTTTTTTTTTTTTTTGGCGGCTATTTTGTTGTAGTCGTCATTGTTGTGTGGCAGGCCTGGGCTGGGTTCGAACCCGCCAGCTCCGATGTATGTGGCTGGCACCCTAGCCACTGAGCTACAGGCACTGAGCCTACTGCTTCAAATTCTGCTTTTAAAAAATAAAATATTGCCATAGGGAAATAATTCTGCCTTTTTAGTTTAGTAATATTGCTTTTTTTCTCATCTCACAATTTATAGGGGCTACAGTTCTTAAATCTATATATATAGGAAATATAATTTCGTGAGAATAGTTGTATAAGTTGAAGTGTCAAATTCAATGTCCAATGAACACTAATTTTAGCACAGACCCTTTAGGTTTTTGCAAAAAACTATTGCTACTTCACTTTTGCCAGCTTTCCCTACAGACTAAATAGGGAACTAAAGACTTGTCAATACTGTTGATAAAGCTTCCAGCCCTTCCGTGGCATTCCAGTGGGACATTTGTCAGTAGTCGACACCAGGTAGGCCACAGGAAATACTTCCCTTTTGAAGAATAGTAGTAGAGCTGCTAACAATATATACAAAACTTTCTTATTTGTAAATGCTGTGTAAGAACTCTACATTCAAAAATGTCAAATTAGTGAGTTTCCTAGGACAGACAGCACCCAAGGGATGGTCATTCTCAATTCTGGCAATGCCAAATGGGAGCCAGGTGTACTTAAGTAATTTGGCCAGGTACCATGCAGGTGGGAAAAGCAACATCTGAACCAAGACAGGGAGTGACTATGAAATACTTCACCAACTAAAAAGAGAAGCATGGTAGGTTTTCTGTAATGATAAAGTTGTATTCATTAAAGAACCCCTTTTCTCAGTGTAACTTACAGAACTGTTTAAAGGTTGAACTATGTCCTACTTATTGAGGAACTGCCCTCACCACTTTGTAGTACTTTCTGCTTCCTGCAATGCAACTATAAACTCCAGGAGGGCGGCTCACAGCAACCTCTAACTTTTGGGCTTAAGCGATTCTCTTGCCTCAGCCTCCAAAGTAGCTGGGACTACAGGTGCCCGCCACAACTGGCTTTTTGTTGCAGTTGTCATAGTTGTGTAGGAGGCCTGGGGCCAGGTTTGAACCTGTCTGCCTTGGTGTATGTGGCTGGTGCCCTAACCACAGAGCTACAGGTGATGAGCCACTTTCCTATATGCTTATAACCAGCATTATCCTAATTACAACTTTAAAGACAGCTGTTCTATTAAAATTTAAAACCATGGTAGAGGTTTAACACTTTGCCATAGTTTTAAACTTTAATAAGGCATTACTCAGTGCCCTATGACCATAAGAATGAAAGGGTAGCTCATTTTTGGATGGAAACTGGAAGTCTTCATGACTCATCTTCCTCTGAATCTCACACTGAAGTGGCCACTTAATACTACTATTCAATATGAACTAAATAATCCTAGGAGTTCAAGGTTGCAGTGAGCCATGATGACACCACTGGCCTTAAGTGATCCTCCTGCCTCAGCCTCCCAAGTAGCCTGACTACAGGTATGTGCGACCTCACCTGGCTTTTCTGGGTACTTTTAATTAGATAAAATTGGAGGTGATTCATTCAGCTTCTCCTCCCTCACATTTCTGACCACTAGGTGGTCTTCCAGATTCTGTCTGACCTGGGTCACTACCTCTCAGCAGTTCCAATATCTGGGCCCAAACAGCTTCAGATTCTGAACAATGGGTACTGGACTCAGTTGTCCTTGGGGTAACAATCAATTCACTCTTCCTCCACATAGTATTTGAAATGTTGACAAGTTTTCTCAGGTATAGGCTGAAGAGCCTTAACACTCCTCTACTACTTCTCATACAACAAGGTCCTCTCTGGAAGGTGGCTGTCCAATTTATCTGTTCTTCAGACTGGGTTTCCAAAATTGCACAAAATGCTACAAGTATGGAAGAGGAAGCCTTGGGGGGCTTTTCTGGATACTGTACCACCATTAACATATATCCTAAAACTGTCTTTTCTCCGTCGTGGCTCATACTGAGTTTAAGGTTAACTTGTTTACATTTATCCATATTAACTTTTTCTTTTCTTTTTTTTTTTTTGAGACAGAGCCTCAAGCTATCCCCCTGGGTAGAGTGCCGTAGCATCACAGCTCACAGCAACCTCCAACTCCTGGGCTCAAGTGAGTCTCCTGCCCCAGCCTCCCAAGTAGCTGGGACCACAGGCGCCCGCCACAGTGCCTGGCTATTTTTTGGTTGCAGCCATCATTGTTGTTTTGGTGGGCCCAGGCTGGATTCGAACCCGCCACCTTAGGTGTATGTGGCTGGCGCCTTAGCCACTTGAGCCACAGGTGCCAAGCCAACTTTTTCTTAATTTTAGCTACATCTTAGGTTCAATGAAAAAAAAAATTTTTTTTTGAGGCAGGGTTTCATTCTGTCACCCAGGCTGGATTTGACCTCCTGTGTTCTTGGAATCCTCTTGCCTCAGCCACCTGGATAGCTGGGACTACAGATGTATATACCACCTCACCCAGCTAGATAAAAATCTTATTTTACCAAATAAATGTATTGGTTAATTCTCCTAGTTTTGTGTCACCTGCAAATCTGATAAACAAAGGTTTTCACCATTTTCATCTATGCTGAAAGAGACTGGACTAAATCACACTGGGGCTCTCCTCCCAAGAGAGTACTTCATCCATCTGTCTTTTCTGGCTACATCTGCTCTAATCAGCTATAAATCCATGTTTACAATTACAGCCAGATAGGAGCACTAAGTTCTAGCATTCATAGCATTGTAGGACATCTATAGTTAACACTATATAGTTTCAAATAGCTAGCATAGTGAACCTTCCTAACACAAAAGGAATAATGTTTGAGATAACAGATATATTAATCACCCTGAGTCTATACATGACTATGAATTTGAATAATTCCTATTTGTCAGTTTAAAAAACCCACTTGGGGGAGGCACTATGGCTCAGTGGGTAGGGCGCCAGCCCCATATACCGAGGGTGGCGGGTTCAAACCTGGCCCGGGCCAAACTGCAACAGAAAATAGCCAGGCTTTGTGGTGGGTGTCTGTAGTCCCAGCTACTTGGGAGGCTGAGGCAGGAGAATCACCTAAGCCCAAGAGTTGGAGGTTGCTGTGAGCTGTGACTCCACAGCACTCTATCAAAGGCCATAAAGTAAGACTGTCCCTACAAAAAAAAAAAAAAAACCAAAACATGTGATTAGGAGTAAAGACACTCATATACCTTGGTAAAATCAATATTACCAATTAGCGGGCGGTGCCTATGGCTCAGTTGGTAAGGCACCAGCCCCATATACCGAGGGCAATAAAGTAAGACTGTCTCTACAAAAAAAAAAAAAAAA